AAAGAGGAGCTCATTCAGATGCAGGAGCCATCGGTCGGGCTGGGAGGCTCTGTGGAGATACAGTCAGATACATCTGTTGCGAATTTTGGTCTTGATTTGCGTGAGAATATCATGGGATCTGATCGAGAAATTCATTTGACAACTGTTGAGGAAAATAATTCTCCCATTACATTTCCTTGCCCATCAGTAAATCATCATGAAGAGTTGGAATCCAAATCAGAGCCACTTTTAGTCTTGCCTATAATTAACAATGTCACTGATGATGATTTGATGGAGACCAAGACTGTGAAGGTTGACATGACAAACCCTGTGGAAAAAACAGTTGGTGTAGAGGGAGATATAAGGACTGAAAAGGATGATGATGAGGGGGATACTTGGGAGCCTGAAGAACCTTTGAAAGCAATTCCTGCAAGTTCCTTATCTTTGTCATCAGATGGTCCATCTTCATTGAGAAGTCTCAGTGGCAAAAGTGATGATGCTGGTAATAGTGCTGGAAGTCTTTCAAGATTGGCAGGTTTGGGGCGTGCTGCAAGGCGTCACTTTGCAGCCGTTCTCGATGATTTCTGGGGCCTGTTGTTTGATTTCCATGGGCATGCAACTGCAGAGGCAAAGGCTAAGAAATTGGATACGTTGCTGGGGCTAGATTTAAAGCTAGCCTCCTCATTGAAAGTGGATACTACTTCTGTGAAAGAATTCAGTGGATACTTCCCATCTGTAGGAGGAAGAGGATCTGAGTCCCTTGTAAATCAAAGTATATATGAGTCTATGAAGCAGCAGAGAGTGCAAGGAAATCTTGATTCATCATTTGGAGTTCAAAGGGGATCTTCTTCACTTTGGCCCTCTAACCACATGCATTTGTTGGATGCATATGTCCAAAGCTCTATCCGTAATGTTCAGGACTCGGGTGAGAAAAGGTACTCTAGTTTGCGTTCTGTACCTACTTCTGAGGGCTGGGATAATCAACCAGCCACGGTGCATGGTTATCAGATTGCATCATATCTCAGTCGAATTGCCAAGGATAAAAGTTCTGATGGCTGGTATGGTCAAATGGATTCACAAGCATCAAAGTTATCAACCCTGGGAACAACAAATTATAGAGACCAACTTGCTTTTGCATTGGGGCAAAAGTTGCATAATGGTATAAGCTCTATGAGCGCTGCACGGGCTTCTGGATTTCAGAATCTTGTGGTGTCAAGAAACAGTCCCTTGCAATCAGAAAGATCATATTGTGATGTTCGCGGTACTGGACCCGGTGATAATGTGGGGATACCGGCCAATACGAAGAAGTACCACAGCTTGCCTGACATTTCGGGTCTTTCTATCCCTCTGCGGGATCTGTACACGTCTGACCAGAGTTCTCAATTGGAAGGTTCCGTTGGCTATGGATCATCTGTTGGTAGGGCTAACAACTATGAAACATCTGTTTATTCAAATTCTGGATCAAGGGCCGGAGCTCCTCTGGCTTTTGATGAGCTCTCACCTTCAAAAGGCTACAGAGATGCTTTTGCCTTGCCAATGAGTTCTAGCTCAGATACTCTATGGTCTAGACAGCCCTTTGAGCAGTTTGGTGTAGCTGATACAAATCGCAATGTTGGGAGTGAGGGACATGGGAACAAGGCAAATTTGGTTACTCGAGAATTCACTTCTGCTGTGGATTCTGAGGCCAAGCTTCTTCAATCTTTCAGACATTGTATTATGAAGCTTCTAAAATTGGAAGGGTCTGACTGGTTGTTTAAACAAAATGATGGTGCTGATGAGGACTTAATTGATCGTGTAGCTGCAAGAGAAAGATTTATATATGAAGTTGAAACCCGTGATGCAAACCAAGTGGGTCACACAGGTGAACCTCTGGTGTCATCAGTTCCGCATTGCGGAGAGGGCTGTGTTTGGAAAGCTGATTTAATAGTAAGCTTTGGGGTTTGGTGCATTCACAGGATTCTTGATCTGTCACTTATGGAAAGTCGGCCGGAGTTGTGGGGAAAGTACACTTATGTGCTAAATCGCCTTCAGGTAAATTTGTGAATCTTTAATTTTGCCCACTTATTAGTTTCCACTCGTTACAGAAACTTTGCAAAGTAGGATTGATGACTCGAGTTTGCAGCTGGGAACATATAAATAAGCGAGCTTTAAATCCAATGTCAGAACAAGCCTTTTCCAAAAATATTTGGTGAAATTGTGGATTGGATGATGTCTGGTCAATCATGAACCGGCAACGTTTTCCACTGGTTGGACCAGTAGTTAACAAATTTTAACTTGTGCTTCCTTCCAATTTTTAATAGCCATGACCTAGAACACCATTTTCCACATAGAGTTGACGTTTGTTTTATACTGCAAATGATCTATGTATATTATATAACCCCTTAAATAAATGGTTGTGCGGAAAAAGAACCAAAACCATGAAATAATCTTTGATAAGATGTATGTATTAATTGTTCTTCTTTTCTATTATATTGATTTTGAGGACCTCAATTGACATTTTTACCATTAATAGGGGGTCATTGATCTGGCATTCTCGATGCCTCGTACTCCAATGCTTCCATGTTTCTGCCTTCAAATCCCTGCAGCTCATCAACACAGGTCAAGCCCTCCAATTTCAAATGGAATGTTGCCTCCTGCTTCCAAACCAGGCAAGGGAAAATGCACAACTTCTGCTATGCTGCTAGACATGATTAAGGATGTTGAGATTGCAATATCTTGCCGAAAGGGTCGAAGTGGTACTGCTGCCGGTGACGTGGCTTTTCCAAAAGGCAAAGAGAATCTGGCTTCAGTTTTGAAGCGTTACAAGCGACGTTTGTCCAACAAACCAGTTGGAGTCGTCCATGAAGGATCTGGGTCACGGAAGGTTTCTGCATCGGCAACTCCTTATGGCTTATAGCTTGTATTAACGGTAAGCCTAAGTTGGCATGAAGATTTGAGTTGTTTAATTTTGGAAGGCAGCTCACTGTTTAGATCAAAGAGTGTTCAGTCATTGGAGGACTCTTGTCTCCTCTTACTCTTCCTGTCACACTCGTGTATTAAAAGTCATTGGTGCAAATACTGCTTCCATGCATGCTATGTATACCTAGGATAAAAGTTACTGGATATGTAATTGCTGCGGAATTCTGGAAAAGGAAGGTAGAAGAAAGGTGGAAAATTGGTCAATAGCAATTATTGAGTCGGTTGTTTTTATTCTTCAACGTGTTCAGTCAAATGATCTCCATTGAGTTAGATGAAGCAAAATCAAAGTTCTGCTAATTAGATGATGCTGAATCCAGCTCCGACCAAGTGAAGTTGGATTGGAAGATGATCTTTTTTTTTTTTTTTTTTTTTAAAAAACGGAAAAATTCTTCACTTTGTCCGGAAAGTGCAGGAATTACGGCAGCCGTTTATATGAACCGCTGGAAGTGGGTAATTTAACGAGTACATATTCAGAATGCCCAATGAGATCGTACCTACTATTCGATAAGGTCTACTTTGTCTCTGTCACTTAAAGCAAAGGAACGTACAGGTTTCAACTTCATTATTTATAACTTGTTTTTCAAGTAGAAGATATTATAAATTCTTTGTGAATTCTGAAGTTGTATGAGCCTATTGAATAGGTGAGGTGTTAAAAATGTATTTATGGTCTTGTAAGCTATCAACTTTTTGAAAATGAATTAGAGGTGGATGGTATGTTACTGTCGGAGCCCAAAACATAAATCAGTAATGGATGGATATATGATTTATACGTGGAAATACTTAAAAGATGGTGCCGTCATTTATTATGCGGCGATATTATTTTTTAATCATAAAAATTAGACAGGATATATAGTGGTAAACATTATATAATCCGTGTTACGGTGAATCTTTAATTTAAAAGAAAAAAAAATTAATGAGAAATTAATTTTAAACCAGAAAAATTAAATAATAGATACAGGAGGATCAAGATTGAAATTCATATTTTTATAGAATGAAGTGGAAATAATAGATACAGGACTTGGTGTGAACAAGATTGAAGATTCAAAGAATGCAAACAAACACATGTCACGCTATTGCTTGAGGGCAAGGCAACGTGGTGAGATTTGATTATTTGATGTAAGATTGTCTGGCCATCATTCGCTTCACTTCTCTGTATTTCATCTTTTTTTTGAAAAAAAATATATATATAAAATTGAATTAGACCCACTTCCCCTTCTCTCTTTATTTCTCAGGATAATAAACCCCAAGCAGGTACCTCCGCCATCTGCAAATCACAGAAAGGTACGTAACTTTCTCTGAATTATTAGTTGAGGTTTTGTATAAAAAGTGAGAGAGTCAGTATGTGTCTGCGTTTGCATTGCAGGAGGAGGTGGAAGATATAATATATAGGATGGGATATGTAATAGTGGTATCGGTGCCGGTGATACTGTTTATAATGATAGTGGCAATTACGTGCTATCTTGTGGGAAGAAACCAGGGTCGACGTCAAGCAGCTGCCACAGTTTCTCAGTATGGACCTCCTGCTCCGCCGCCTCCGTTCCAACCACCACCACCTCGCGACGAAAAGCCATAACTAATTAATTAATTATCGTATATTCTTAGATCTCTGTAGATTTTAATTATTTTACTTTCATGTTATTCTTCTGTTTTCTATTTTAAATGCGTTAAATAGCGTATGTAAAGCTATTATCACGGATACCACCAGCGCCCTCCTTATTGTCTTTCTGCTATCATAATCTCAACACGTTGAAAAAATAATTTATAAAATCAAGAACATAACACATATCATAATTTTATAGCAATCAGTTAGAAAAATAATTATCAACCTATTAATATTCATAGGATCTATAGAGATGTTCTCATTACGCGTGAATTTTTATTCAACCTTTTAAATAACGGACCGTTCCCATACCTCGTACGGTATGAGTGCCAAAAGATATCATCTCTTAATACTCCATCTGCTATGAGGGTTAAATGCACTGTCCCCATACCTCATTCGGTATGAGCGCCAAATTATCAATTCTTGATACCTTGTCCGGTATGAGGCAACGTTTACGGTAAAGTTTCCTATGTATCCGGTCTGTCCACCATCTTTCAGGATATACAGTAAGACTACCATTCATCCATTCATTTAATCAAACAATTTTTAGTTTATCTTTAATTTCTAATTTTTCGATTTAACTGTAATAATGTAAAACAATCAATACACACATCAAAGAAATCTAATCAAAAGCATCATACCAATTCCAGTGTATTATCATTCATTCAAAATTGTAAAATCAACTAATCAGCTAAACACATCAAACAAAAATAAATAACCGGTTCCGGCTCCATTAGTGATTTTTAATTAATTATAAATATTTCTAAATTACGTAAAATATCATATTATTTAATATTAAACTTCAATTCTATGACAATAAATAGGGTGAAGGATTATTATTCGAATTGATGTCCAAACACTAAGCTTTTGATTGTACCTATTGGCGATCCCCAAGTTTCTTAAATTTTCTTTGAGGGATTATAACGCGTTTCAAGTATCTAGAAATATTCCAAAAAGTCCAAAATCAGTGTTATAAACCCTTTTTGTTCAATTCTGGAATTCCGGCACGGCGGCTCCGCCGTGCTTTAGCGACGGCAGTGCCGCTCGCGGTGGCAGTTTGCCTCGGGTTGGTAGTTTTTGGCCGATTTTATATCAATCCCCGTAAGAAAACACGTTAAGGAGTTTCGGTTGGCCAAAAAAACCAAAAAATCAAAGCTTACCAGCGGCGGGGTTCTCCGGTGCGGCGGCTCCACCGACTAACCTTCGCGGTTAAGTGTTTTGTTTCGGTCAATCTGTAGAGAAATGAATGGTGATTACAATGATGAAAAAATTACACAAAACGAGAATCGGTAAGAGGCTCATCGGAGGCATTTTTGCTTTTTTTTGCGGCGATGCTGTCGGATTTTGCCTGCAGTTTTTGGCTAATCCCCTGGTCTTTTTGCTCCGATTTGACCATTGGGATGTTTAAAATTGAATTTCGAGCAAATAATTTTTTTTTACCTCTTTTGGCGGTTGAAAGTGGATCCGGCGCGGCGGCGAGCAGTGGTCGGCTCCCTTCCTGGCGACTAGGTCTTCTTCTCTGGCGGGAGGTCTGGCAGCTAGGGTTAGAGTTTGGCGTGAAGAGGGTTATTTATACCCGTTACAATTTGATCTGGACCGTCTACCGCGTTTGATCTGAATTGTCCGATCGCGTTTAAATAGGAAGTAAATCTGGACCGTTCATCGTGATTTGATCTAGACTGTCAGATCGCGTTTAAATAGAAAGTGGATCTGAACCGTTTATCGTGTTAAATCGTGACCGTCTGATTGCGTTTGAGGAGAAAACTGATCTGGACCGTCCGTGCGTGGGCATGCAGATCGCCAGCATGGCCTCTCGCGTGGCACCGCATCATCGTCCCTTGCCATGCGGCGTGTTTCGGTTCATCGGGGCTGCTGACTTTGAGTCCTACGTGACACAATCTTTTTGAATTATGTTTTGACCTCTAGTTTCTGATTTTTTTTTCAAAAATACTCACATAACTCAAATTTTCACCACTTTTTCCGAAAATTATTTCCAATTTCATTATCCCTTCAATTTTCTTCATTTTTACATTAAATAAAAATTTAAAAATTTTAAAAAATTATATTTTAAATATTAATTTTAATTACATTAAAATTAAATAAATTAAGGGTATTAAAACTCTCCCCCCTTAAAAGAAATTTAGTCCTTCAAATTTCTCTCTCTCTCACTCAATCAAACAGTCGGGGATATTGGGCTCTGAAGTCTAATTTTAGCACCCATGTGGCCTCTCTCAATGTGTAATTCTGCTATAGAACCTTAATAAAGATAATTTCTGAGTTGCAGAGTACTCTGCTCTTTCGGTCCACAGTACCGATTGGTACTTACTCATAGGACAGATCCTCCTGTAGTGAAAGAGACTCGTGGGCCAAGACATGAGAGGGGTCCAGACTGTACTTGCGTAGCATGAACATGTGAAACATATTATGGACATTGAAAAATTCTGGAGGTAGTGTCAGTCTGTAAGCGGCGGTGCCAATTCTATCTAAGATTTTAAATGACTCAATAAATCGGGGATTTAGCTTTCCTTTTTTGCTAAACCTACTGATTTTCTTGAAAGGAGTGGTTTTAAGGAATACCCGATCACCTTTTTTAAATTCCAAATCTCTCCTCCGGGTATCCGCATAACTCTTCTGCTTACTTTAAGACGTCTGAATGTTCTTCATAATCTTAACTATTTTGTCTGTAGTCTCATTTACAAGATTTGGACCAAATAATCTTCTATCACCTATTTCGTACGGACCCATGCCAGTACTTGCTTGGTAGCTGTTATTGTAGGTGAACTCTATCAGGGGTAAATGATCATCCCAATGGCCCCCCGAATTCAAGAACACAAGCTTGGAACATATCCTCTAATGTGCGGATCGTTCTTTCTGATTGTCTATCAGTCTGAGTGTGGAATGTAGTATTAAGGTATAGTTTTGTTCTCATAACTTGCTAAAAACTAGACCAAAACTGAGAAATAAACATGGAGT